CTGCATACCCTACATTTTACTATCCTCCATGTGCCTATCCAAGAGTCGCTTAAAAGTCTCTAAAGTATCTGACTCCACTACCACTGCCGGCAGCGCATTCCACACACCCACCACTCTCTGTGTGAAGAACCTACCTCTGACATCTTCCCTATACCTTCCTCCAATCACCTTAAAATTATGCCCCCTCGGAATAGTCATTTCCACCCTGGGAAAAAGTCTCTGACTATCCACTCTATCTATGCCTCTCATCATCTTATACACCTCTATCAAGTCACCTCTCATCCTTCTTCACTCCAATGAAAAAGGCCCTAGCTCCCTCAACCTTTCCTCATAAGACCTGGCCTTCAGTCAGGGCAGCATCCTGGTAAATCTCCTCTGCACCCTCTCTAAAGCTTCCACATCTTTCCTATAATGAGGCGATCAGATCTGAACACAATATTCCAAGTGTGGTCTAACCAGGGTTTTATAGAGCTGCAGCATAACCTCGCGGCTCTTAAACTCAATTCGTCGGATGATGAGGTTCTGGCTCCCGGTTTTAGACTAAAGAAACTTCATATCTCCATTCCCCCTGTCAGGCTGGGTAAGAAATTTATATGTTTCTCTGATGTAAACTGCTCATCCTTCTGTATAAAACAATACTACCATCCCAAGGATTATTCTGGTGAATCTCTGCTACGCTCCGTCTCTGGCGAAATATATTCTACCTGAAATGAGAAAGACAAAAGTGCCATGTGCTAGTGAGAGTACGAACAGGAGGATGTGGCAGATGAATGCGTGGCTAAAGGATTGGTGCAGGTGTTAGGGATTCAGATTCCTGGATTATTGGGATCTTTTTTGAGGCAGAGATGACTTGCTCAAGAGGAACGGGTTGCACCTGAACTGGTGGGGGACCAATATCCTGGAGGGCAGATTTGCTAGTGCTGCAAGGCAGGGTTTAAATTAGATTGGCAGGGGGTTGGGATCCTCAACAGCAGGGAGACAAGTGTGAGGTTGCAAGGAAATACAATAATTAGAAATAGCAAGTTGAAGAGGCATGTCAGGCTGGAACAGGACAGTAAGCGAGGAATGCCTGTTGGATTAAATTGCATCTACTTCAATTTAAGAGGGCTGACAGGTAAGGCTGATGAACTCAAGGCAGGGATAGGTATGTGAGGCTGGGATATTATAGCTTTTACAGAAACATGGCTAAGGGAGGGACAGGACTGGCAGTTTAATGTGCCAGGATACAGGTATTTTAGGCGGGAGAGAGGTGAAGGAAAGAGGGGAGGAGGATTTCCATTTTTGATTTTGGTGACGTTACTGGGGGTTGTACTATTCCCCAAATAGTCAACAGGAATTAGTGGAACAAATATGCAGGAGTAATAGGGTGGTCATAGTGGGGGATTTTAATTTTCCGAACATTGGCCGGGACTGCCATAGTGTTAAGGGCTTAGATGGGGTGGAATTTGTTAAATGTGTTGAGGAAAGTTTCTTCAAGCAGTATATAGAGGGTCCTCCTAGGGAAGGGGCAAAACTCGACCTACTCTTGGGAAATAGGGCAGGACAGGTGACTGAGGTGACAGTGGGGGGGACACTTTGGGACCAGTTCTATCAATTTTAAAACAGTTATGGAGAGGGAAAAAACTGGTCCACAGGTTCAAGTTCCAAATTGGGGCAAGACAAATTTTGATGGAATTAGACAGGAGCTTGCAGAGGTTGATTGGAGTAGTTTGTTTGTGGGCAAAGGGACCTCTGGCAAGTGGGAGGCCTTTAAAAGTGTGATAGCTAGAGTTCAAGGTGAGGGTGAAGGGCGAGGTTGGCAGGGGTAGGAAACCCTGGATGATAACAGATAGTGAGGCCTTTGACCAGAAAAAAATTGGAGGCATGGCTCAGGAACAGGCAGCTGGGATCAAGGGAATCCCTGGAGGCATATAGGGGATACAGGAGTTTACTGTCGAAGGAAATCAGGAGGGTGAAAAGGCGGCACAAGATAGCTTCAACTGAGAAGATTAGGGTCAATCCAAAGAGATTCTTTCAGTATATTAAAGGAAAAAGAATACCTAGAGAGAGAATAGGACCCCTCAAGGACCAAAGTGGATATGTATGTGTGGAACCTCAGGAGATGGGCGAGGTCCTCAATGAATATTTCTTCTGTGTTTACCATGGAGAAAGACAAGATGACCTCGGAGCTTGGGAAGTTAGTGGTGATGTCTTGGGGACAGTGGACAGTCCATATCGCAGTAGAGGTGGTGTTGGAAGTATTAGAATGTATGACGGTGGATAAATCACCTGGTCATGATCAGATATATCCAAGAACCCTACAAGAGGCTAGAGAAGAAATTGCAGGGGCTTTGGTTGATATACTCGCATCATCATTAGCCACAGGTTAGATCCCGGAAGAGTGGAAGGTAGCGAATGGTGTGCCCTTATTCAAGAAGGGCTGCAAAGAAAAACCTGGGAATTACAGACTAATGAGCCTAGCATCTGTGGTAGGTAAGTTACTTGAGAAGATTCTGAGGGATTAGATAGAGACGCATTTAGAAAGACAGTGTTCGAGCGAAGCCCAACGCAGGCTGGAAGAACAAGATCTCATTTTTCGCTTGGGAACCCTGCAGCACTCCGGACTCAATATTGAGTTCAATAATTTTAGGGCCTAAACTCTCCCATGTCCCAGCCCCCCACCCCACACACCAGGCCTTGTTACCACATTGCCTGTCACTACACATCGCCTGTCGTTAGTCACAAACAGTCCCCATTAACAACTATGCACCCTCCCAGCCTGATCGTTAGCAACTCCTTTGTCTGTCCAACTGTCTTTCTCTCTCTTTGGGCTCTATCCTATCCATTCAGGAGAGGTGTTAGGAAGCACTTCTACACGCGAAGGATGGGAGAGCTTTGGAACTCTCTTCCACGAATGACAGTGGATGCTGGATCAGCTGTCAAGGTGTAGAGTATTTTATACTCTATGCCTCTATTTATAAACCCCAGGATCCTATAAACCTTCTTAACAACTGTTTTACCTTGCCTGGCCACCTTCAGAGAATTATGTACATAAACCCCAAGGTGACTCTGCTCCTGTACTCCCCTCAGAGTTTTACCATTGAGCCTGTATTTTCTCTTTGTGTTTCTTCTACAAAAATGCATTACCTCACATTTCCCTGCACGGAATTTCATCTGCCAGATATCAGCCCATTTGGCCACATTATCAATGTCCCTTTGAAGTCACTCAGCATCATCCTCACAACTCACTGTTCTCCCCAGCTTAGTGTCATTTGCAAATTTGGAGATTTTGCCCTCAACACTCCTGTCCAAATTGTTTATATAAATCAGAAAAAACAACGGTACCAACATTGATCCTGGGGTTGCACCACTTTCAACTCGTCTCCAATCTGAGAAATGCCCATCTGTACCATCTGTTTCCTGGCCTTTAACCAACTTCTAATCCAAGCTGCCAAGGGTCCAGCAATCCCAAACATCTCTAATCTGCTAACCAGCCTGCCATGTGACACCACATCAAATTTTCTTGCTCTTGTACTCCATGCCTTTATTAATAAAACCCAGGATAAGGTATGCTTTAGCAATTGCTCTCTCCATCAGTCCTGCTATCTTCAATGATATATAGAGTCATAGAGCCACACAACATGGAAACAGACCCTTTGGTCCAACTCATCCATGCTGACCAAGTTTCCCAAACTAAGCTAGTACCATTTGCCTGCGTTTAGCTCATAGCTCTTTAAACATTTCCCATTGATGTACTTGTCCAAATATCTTTTAAATGTTGTAACTATACCTGCATCTACTACTTCCTCTGGAAGTTCATCCTCAGACCCTTTTTAAATCATTTTCCTTTCACCATAAAAATATGCCCTCTAGTTTTGAACTCCACTGCCCTGGAGAAAAGACTTTTGCTATTCGCCTTATCTATGCCCCTCATGATTTAAAAACATCTATAATGTCACCTCTCAACCTCCTACGTTCCTGTCAAAAAAGTTCCAGCCTATCCAGCCTCTCCTTATAACTCAAACCCTCCATTCCCAGCAATATCCTGGGGAATCTTTTCTGAACCCTCTCCAATTTAATAATATCCTTCCCAAAGCAGAGCAATCAGAACTACACACAGTATTTCCAAAAGCGATCTCACCAACATGCTGTGCAACCTCACCATGACATCCCACCTCCTATACTCAATGGTCAAATGCATTTTTACAACAATTGACAATGGTTACATGGTCACTATTAGACTCTTTTTATTTGAGATTTGTTGTGAATTCACATTTCACCATCTACCATAGTGAGCTTCATGTGCCCAGCTTATTAAGTTGGGGTTCGGAACTACTAGCCCAGTGACTTTACCACTACGTCACCAACTCCTCCAGGTCAGTTTCTGACACTGTGACAGTTTACAGATGTTATATTTTGTCTTTTCTTTGCAGAGAATCAACCATTTTCCTGGAATGGGAGAGATTTGCCGCAAGGACTGTCTGGCTAGAAACATGGCCAAGTAAGTGACCCAGGCTCCCGACCCAAGTTTCTGTCTCAGTTAGAATTGGAATCTGAAGGTGTCTTTTATTACGGAGTGAGTGTGTTTGTGAACAGGCAACCTCCCCACCATTTGCCACCTTAACAGCGAGTGGCAATGTACAATGGAGAGTTTACTAGCTCAATGTGGATCTGTTCCTGAAGAGGACGTGCCTTCCAGACAATGTGACACAGCAGCAAGGGTGAAGTAACTGGACCCTCTGTTCCAGGAACACAAACAGGAATGGCTGGAAAAGCTCAGCAGCTCTGGCAGCATCTGCAAAGAAAATATCAGAGTTAATATTTTGGGTCGGGTGACCCTTCCTCAGAGCTGCACTGTGTTCCAGAAGGCATTCATACCCTACAGGAAAGGTGATTGGGTCAGTGGCTGGGTATAGCAAGGTGTCACTGTGAGTGAGGCAGGTAAATGGATTCAGCACACCTGAGCCTCAGCCTTTGCAATTGTTGGACAGATCAGAGATTCAAGAACTCGTGTTTTGAGGGAGAGTCACTGGACTGGAAACATTAACTCTGCTTCTGTCTCCACAGATGCTGCCAGGCCTGCTGAGTTTCTCCAGCAATCTCTATGGTTAAGAACCTATCAATTAGAGTCATAGAATTTTACAGTACAGATAGGCCATTCAACCCATTGTGTCCTGAAATAAATTCACAGAATCCCTACAGCGTGGAAACAGGCCCTTCGGCCCAACAAGTCCACACTGACCCTTGGAGCATCCCACCCAGACCCACATCCCTATAACCTGCCTAATCTACACATCCCTGAACACTATGGGCAATTTAGCATGGCCAATCCACCTAGCCTGCACATCTTTGGGCTGTGGGAGCAAACCGGAGCACTGGGAGGAAACCCACGCAGACACAGGGAGAATGTGCAAACTCCACACAGACAGTCGCCCGAGGGTGGAATTGAACCTGGGTCCCTGGCGCTGTGAGGCAGCAGTGCTAACCACTGAGCCCCCATGCCACCTCTAGGATAACTTTCAATTGACCTTCAGCCACAGGAGCCTTTAGGGGATTGAGTTCCAGATTCCCACTTAACACTATGTGAGATAGTCCTTCATGGAAATAAATAATCATAGAAAATAGGAACAGGAGTAGGCCACTCGGCCCTTCGAGCCTGTTCCGCCACTCAACTTGATCATGGGTGATCATCCAACTGAAATCCCTGTTCCCACTTTCTCTCCCATGCCCTTTGATCCCCTTAGCCCGAAAAACTATTACTAACTCCCTCCTGACAACATTCAGTGATCTGATTTCAACCACTTTCTCCAGCAGAGAATCCCACAGGCTCACCACTCTCTGGGTGAAGACATTTCTCCTCATCTCAGTCCGAAATGGTTTACCAATATCTTTCGGCTGTGACCCTTAGTTCTGGACTCACTGGTCATCAGAAAAATCCTTCCTGTGTTTATTCTGTCTAGTCCTGTTAGAATTTTTTAGGTTTCTATGAGATTCCCCCTCCCCCTCATTTTCCTAAACTCCAGTGACCATAGTCCTAACTGATCCAGTCTCTCTTCATACATCACGCCTGCCATCCCAGGAATCAGTCTGCATTCCCTCCTTGGCCTTCCTAAGATAAGGAGACTAAAACCGCACACAGTACTCCAGAAGTACCCTTACCAAGGCCCTGTGTACTTGCAGCAAGATATCCCTGCTCCTGTACTCAAATCCTCTCACTGCGAAGGCCAACGTATTATTTGCTGTCGTCACCTCCTGCTGCACTTGCATGCTTACTGTCAACAATGGGTGTACAAGGACACCCAGGTCTCATTGTACCTCCCTCTTTCCCAATCTATCACCACTCAGATAAAAACCCACCTTCCTGTTTTTGCTATCAAAGTTGATAACCTCCCATTGATCCACATTATACTTCATTTACCCACTCACTCAGTTTGTCCAAATCACACTGAAACATCTCTGAATCCTTCTCACAGCTCACCCCCTCACCCCAGCTTTTGTGTCATCTGCAAACTTGGAGCTAATACATTTAGTTTCCTCATATAAATCATTCATGACATTGCTCTGAATATTCTTTCAGAGATAGTAGTTACTGTAGATGCTGGAGAATCTGAGATAACAAGGTGTAGAGCTGGATGAACACAACAGGGCCAAGCAGCATCAGAGGAGCAGGAAGGCTGACGTTTCGGGCCTAGACAATATTCTTTCTTGTTCTGGACTAGCAGAGGAAATAGTTTCTCTCCAACTGACCTGTCACCTTCTTCAACCATCTGAAACTCCTCAATTAGATCATCATGCCACCTTCCAGATTCAAGTCTATTCCCTAGTCCGTGTAACTTGTTCATATAATTTAACCCTTTTTAGCCCAAGTATCCTTTTCCTGAGTCAATGCTTTATCCTGCAAGCCCAGTGCTTAAATTGTTAGGGAATTAGTTTTTCTTTCAATGCCCACCTGCTTTTATTCCTTGCCTGATTTCTCATTCTGTTGGTTTCTGTCAAAAATTCTTCCAATGGATTTTCAAGATTTCCATTTAGAGCACTCCACTTTGGTCTGTATTCCTCCTTTACCATCCGTGTTTTATTTTCAGGATGATCAAGAGCCAATCTCAAGAGTACTGCTTCACCCCCAGGACCTGGATCTTTCCTGCAGAGTACACTCAGTTCCAGAACTGTGTGAAGGAACTCCGAAAGAAACGCAGGCAGAAGACCTTTATAGTCAAGCCAGCCAATGGAGCCATGGGTCATGGGTAGGTTAAGCCTTTTACCCAAAAACCCTTCAATTGTTCCCCCCAGGATCATGACAGACTGACCCATGCACCATTTTAAAAGGCGATGAGTTGCTGTGCGTGTGTGCACACATGTGTCTGTGTGTGTGTGTCTTGTGTGTGTGTGTGTGTGCCTGTGTGCTTGTCTGTGTGTGTGCCTGTCTGTGTGTGTGTGTGTGCGCCTGTGTGTGTGTGTGTGTGTGTGTATGTCTGTGTGTGCCTGTCTGTGTGTGTGTGCCTGTCTCTGTGTGTGTGTGCCTGTGTGTGTGTGTGTGTGTGTGCCTGTGTGTGTGTGTGCTTGTCTGTGTGTCTGTGTGTGTGCCTGTCTCTGTGTGTGTGTGACTGTGTATGTGTGTGTGTGTGCGCCTGTGTGTCTGTGTGTGTCTTTGTTTCTCGAACCTCAGCTGCTCTTGGGATCCAGGGACATCCATAGTGCTGTTTGGGAAGGAGTTCCAAGATTTTGACCCACAGATACTGAAGGAACGGCGATATATTTCCAAGTCAGGATGGTGAGTGGCTAGGAGGGGAACTTGCAGGGGCTGGCGTTCCCATGTAACTGCTGGCCACATTTTCCAACTGTTGGAAGGAGCCTCAGTGTATTCCTGCACTGCACCTTGTGGATGTTACACACTGCTGTTATTGTGCATTAATAATGAAGCAAGTGAATGTTTAAGGTAGTGGATGTAGTGCCGTTCAAGGGGCTGCTTTGTCCTGGATGGTGTCAAGCTTCTTGAGTGTTGTTGGGGCTGCACCAATGCAGGAATTGAGAAACAAGGCTTGGTTGGCTGTATAATGGGGGAAAGGGTCCTGTTTTGTTTATTTGGTGAACTCTAACTGATATCAGGAGGCGGCAATTCAAACAGAGGTGTTGTTAGTATTCACGATTTGGTTGGTATGGGTGGTTCAAAGGAGATGGAAGCTAGGTAGTCATGTGACATGTTGATATCTGCCCCAGTTCTGTAAACTGAACAGTGAACAAGGACAGAACTGGAACAAGCCTTTGCTTGATGATTTTACAGTTTTGCATCAAAGAAACATAGAAACTAGGAGCAGGAGTAGGCCGTTCAGCCCTTTGAGCCTGCTCCGACATTCAATATGATCATGGCTGATCATCCAACTCAGTTCCTGTTCCCGCTTTCACTCTGTACTCTTTGATCCCAATAGCCCTAAGAACTATCTCTAACTTCTTCTTGAAAACATTCAATATTTTGGTCTCAGCCATTTTTTGTGGCAGAGAATTCCACAGGCTCACCACTCTCTGGCATCAGTTCTTGTACAAGTCAAAGCTGTTTCTGGTTTAATTTGAATTTTTTCACTGTTAGCAAACTCACTCTGGTAGGCTACAGGTGATGTGCAAAGTGAGAAACTATCGCTCTGTAATTGTTGTCTCTTGCTGAGCAGCAGTGACCATGTACAGCAGGTGGAATTTTATTCTCCATCATACTGTGAATGCTTGAAGCTGATGCCAATGTTGTGAACTAGAAGTGCCCTTTCCCTGCAATAACAGTTTAATCAGCTCAAAATTTCAATGCAATCAGGAATCCAATTGAAAGTAAATGCTGAGTGTCATGTTGAGAGCCAGGAGCTTAGATTTTCAGTCAATTTAAAAAAGAAAATCTTGCATTTATATAGCACCTTTCACTCTCAGTTGATGTCCCAAGGTGCTTTGCAAACATTGAAGCATTTTTGCAGTGTAATCTCCACGGTAACGTAGGAAACAGTCAACTTGTGCACAGGCAAACTCCCACAACCAGCGATGTGATCATTACAAGGTCATCTGTTTTTGTGATAAAACAAAGAACTGTGGGTGCTGAAGGTCTGAAACAAAACCAGGCGTTGCTGTGGAGAGAAAGTAGATTTGACTTTGGACTCAAAATGTTAACTGTATTACTCTGTTTGCAGATGCTGCCAGCCCAGCTGAATTTCTCCAGCAATTTCTGAATCTGTTTTTGTGATGCTAGTTGAGGGATAAATATTGCCCAGCACCCCGGGGAGAGTACCCCTGTTGTTCTATGAATGGTGCATTGTGGGAGTTTAACGTTCATCTGAGAGTGTAGACTGACCTCAGTCTGACGGGTCACCCAAAGCGTAGCACATTAGCAATCTGGTTTTCCCTCAATATTGCAATGGGGTGTCAGCCTTGATTTTTGCACTAAACTCTCTGGATTGAGACATAACTTTTGATTGTACTTAAGTGGCGTTTAAACCTGCACAGACTTATTTTTAAACATGTTTGATTATCGAAGGCCAACCTTACTGATTTCATGGCACTGACATTTTGTCTGCTTTACAATAATAGAAAGACACACAGAGGCTATTTGGCCCATCGTGCCTCTGCTGGCTTTTCGAAAGAGTTACTTGATTAGATCCCCCACTCCTGCTTTCTCAGCATGGCCCTGCACATGTTTCTCCTTCTGGTATTTGCCATGTTCCTTTCTAAAGTTGCTGCTGAAATTGCTTCCATCATCCCAGCAGGAGGCCCAATCCGGATACAATCCCTTAAGAAATTCTCCATGTGTCACTGATTTAAATCTCTAAGACCATAAGACATAGGAGCAGAAATTAGGCCATTCGGCCCATTGAGTCTGCTCCGCCATTCAATCATGGCTGATAAGCTTCTCAACCCCATTCTCCCGCTTTCTCCCCATAACCCTTGATCCCCTTGATAATCAAGAACCTGTCTATCTCAGCCTTAAATGTACTCAATGACCTGGCCTCCACAGCCTTCTGTGGCAGTGAATTCCAGAGATTCACCACTCCTTGGCTGAAGAAGTTTCTCCTTATCTCCGTTCTAAAAGGTCTTCCCTTTATTCTAAGGCTGTGCCCTCGGGTCCTAGTCTCTCCTACCAATGGCAGCATCTTCCCAACATCCACTCTTTCCAGACCATTCAGTATTCTGTAAGTTTCAGTTAGGTCCCCTCATTCTTCTAAACTCCAATGAGTATAGTCCCAGAGTCCTCAGACAAATCTATGTCCTCCTGCTGCTGGAAATGTCTTCTTTCCAACTCAGCGAAAACCCTTTGGGGTGTTGCACCCCTCTATCAAACTTTCATATATCATCGTAGAATCCCTACAGGGTGGGAACAGGCCTTCTGGCCCAACAAGTCCACTCCAACCCTCAGAGCATCCCACCCAGACCCATCCCTCATAACCCACCTAATCTGCACATCCCTGAACACTACGGGCAATTTATCATGGCCAATCCACCTCACCTGCACATCTTTGGACTGTGGGAGGAAACCAGACCACCCAGAGGAAACCCTCACAGACAGTCACCTGAGGGTGGAATTGAACCCAGGTCCCTGGCGCTGTGAGGCAGCAGTGCTAACCACTGAGCCACTGTGCTGCCTTCCCCTGATTTGTATTTTTTTATGGAAGAGTGTTCTGAACCTCTACCACCCTTTGAATGTAGGAGTGCTTCCTAACATCTCTCCTGAATGGAGTGGCCCTAATTTTTACACTCTGCCTCTAGTTCTAGAATCCCCAAGCAGTGGAAATAGTTCATCTTTATCTATGCTATCTTTTCCTGTTAATATCTTACAGACTAAGATCAGTTCATTCCTTATCCTTTATATTCTAGAGAAAACAGGCCTAACTTGTGTAATCTTTCCTCATAACTTAACCCCTGAACTCTAGGTATCATTCTTGTAAACCTACATTGTACTCTTCCAAGGCCAATCTATCCTTCCTAAGGCATGGTGCCCACATCTGCTTGCAGTACTCCAATTTGCATGTAACCAGGGTTCCTTCAGTGTCACTGAGTCAGAATCAAGGAACTCCTTCCCTAATGGCACCGCAAGTGACTGTACACACCAAGGATAGCTATGGTTCAACAAGGCAGCTCAGCCCCACCTTCTCAAGGACACTTAGTGACGAGTAGAAACTGCTGGCCTAGCTAGGGGTACACACATCCCATGAGTGAGTAATGAAAACAATTGCTTCAAAAATCTCATCATTCCTGTGATCATACTTTAATGAGCTGCCAACAAATGACTGAATGTGCTCGAGACTTGACTTTGGCTGAAGTTCACAGAGCTCTTTAAATGAGATTGCATGGGTAAGTACTTATTGAATTTCTCAGGTTAGTCAGTGGGTTTAATGCTTTCTAAGCACCATCTCTGTAATTAATTCCTGTGCTAGCACCACAATGACTCCTCCACCTCCTGCAATTCTCGTAACTATTGAAATTGGTGACCTTTTGTTAGACCATAAGATCATAAGATGTAGGAGCAGAAGTAGGCCATTCAGTCCATCGAGCCTGCTCTGCCATTCAATGAGATCATGACTGAGCTGATCATCCTCCACTTTCTTCCCATTTCCCAATGGCCGTTGGTTCCCTCACTGATTAAAACTTGTCTAATTTGTTGTACGTGCCTTTACATAGAATCATAGAGTTATAGAGCAGTGTGGGATGCTTTTCAGAGGTTTAGTGCTGACTTGATGGGCCAAATGGCCTCCATCTGCACTGCAGGGATTCTATAACTCAATGTAGAGATGAATCCCAAAATGTACTCTGCTCATATTAAATGGCAGAGTGGGCTTGGTAGACCTCTAGCTTTCATTTTCAGGGGCTAGTCTGAATATGGGAATACCTCTATCCAGATCTGGATTTGAACCTACAATCCTCGGACTTTGATAGACAATTGCTACCTGCTGAGCTAAAGCTGCCATCATCAAGATGGTGAGGTGTGGGGTGTGTTAGGGGCGTGGTAGTGTTGCAGACAGGGATCCTTGTCCACTAACTGCACCAGAAACAGCCTTCCAGATAATCGTGGATGGCTTGCACTCAATATTTTGCTGGAAGGCAAGAGTTTCAGTGGTACACAAACAGGGAGATTTAAGGACTCCAGCCAGTGGAATTATTAAGAAATACAAGTCAGAGTAATTATCCACTTATGACACTTCTATCTAAATCCATCACTTGTTCTTGGGAATTTCAAATCCTTCCACTCAGTCAACTGATACGGGCTAATTTTCCCATT